ACAAATACCCATTCCAGCATCGCCAAGTGGTCACTTTGAGTTGAGTTGTCTATCATGTTAATGTACTTGGGCAAAAAGTGAGGCTCGCCTCGCGTCTGAGGCATTTCTTTCGGAATCGGGATTGAAAAAGGCAAACCGTTTCTTTAAATCCCAGTTAGTCACAAATCAGAAATAAAAATTCAGGATAACAACACAATAAATCCCCGTCAATCGGCGAATCACTGTTTGGCCATTGAAACACCTGTTGACTCAGTGAAAACAAATGCTTTCTCTCACAAGCAATCCACCATCGACCCAGTAAGATGCCGTGAAAGATCCCACCCAATCCTCAACAACCAGCACGAAACAGCGAAGATCCCGTGATCCTCCTCCTCTCACGAATTCCACCAAGATCAAGATGAAAGATCAGGACGGAAGATCGCGACCCCATCATCCTGTGGCCAAAACAGGGCCACAAACTCACTATAAAGACAAGCAACCACACTCAACAAACACACAGCCACAATCCCCATTGTTGCATGCCTTGCAACATTCTTTCTTACACCTCATCAGCAAGCTAGGAATCCAAAAATGGCAACAGTTCCAAGGGAGTTAGAAATAACAGACCATAGAAATGCAGCACAAACAGCACAAACTCACCTTTCCATCTTCTTCCTCTGGAATGCAATTGTCATCATTAATCTCGTCCCCATTGTCGTCAAACTGAACCTCATCTTGATCAACCAACAAGTCAATAATGTTGCCATCCCTGTCAAGGTCAAAGCCAAAGAGATTGCCCGTCTCCAATCGAGCCGCCACATCCTCCGTACTCTCCTCCTGGAGAACCGCATAACCACCACCAAGATGCGGAATTGCATCGTTGTGCCACCACTGGTACTTCATCGTCAGGATATCATCCACAACATTGCGGTAGCAAGCTCCACCGCGACGTTCAAGGAATGTACCGTCCTTCACCAATGCCGCCTTATTCTCTTGAGCTCGAATGCCCTTCTGGTCGCCAAGGCCTTGGACGACAGCGCCGCTAGCCAAGTGAATCGCCATCATTGAGTCCTCAAATCGATCCAAATCCGGGACGATGCGTTCGCTGGGCGGTGCGCCTTGGAGGACACGATGGTACGCTTCCTGCCCACGCTTTGGTGTCGAGATGGTGAACTTGGTTGGGTCGTCATCGTCCAAATGGCTCGTAATGATGATATGACAATTCACTGAATCATTCACGTCCTTGTTGAGAGACGTATCCCCAGCGTTGGCCTCTGGACTGTTGCCTGACGGGAACTTGTCGAGACGATTGCTGGTGAGGTTCAATCCAACAGGAAGAAGCCAGTGTGTAAGGTAGCCATGTTCGTCCATCCACTCGTAGCATTCTTTGGACGTCATCTGGGACAGCGCATCGTGATAGAAGTACCAGCCATGAAAGTTGGGTCGGTGCTTGCGAAAGAAGCGTTTGGATTCCTTGTACATGTGCTTGACGGCCTCTGTGACACATCCTGTGGAATTCAGAGTTGTGGATCGTTGAATGAAGTCTCGCCAATCCTCACCATAGCAGGACTTGTAGGGATTTGCATGCTTGCTGTAGTCAGTTGTATGTGGGACCACATTCGAAGCCGTCCGACACTTGGCACGCCAACCTTTGAGAGTCTTGAGATTTCTCGAAACAAACGGGATGTCAACGGTACCACCACCTTCGTCCACCATAGCGTAATTTTCCGTCATGTCCCGCAGCTCAAATGTTTCGGCTTCTGCAAAGTCACGAACAGTGAAGATGCCGTGTTCGTTGAGCCTTTCGATCTTTGCCTTTCCACAGTAAGGAATCATTCCTTTTGCGAGGTTGTCCGACATGTAGAGTTTCCCCACTTCCCGCGTCGTAGCCAACCAACCTTGCGTCTTGGCTGGACCATCCTGCATCTTCTTGATCCTGACAATCTCAATTTTGACAAGCTCGCGGAATTTCTTCAAGGAGATGATGTTCCTGCTGGTGTAATCAAATGGATCGAACACCCATCCCTCCTTGCATTCAACAACACCATCAGCATTGCGGTAAGAGGCGGACCTCATCCTCGTACTTGACGTTCAAACAGTACGCAGGCACAGCATGATTGTAGCTTCCGTTGGGATCTGGTTTGCCCTCGTCGTTTCTTGCAAACTGGACAACATGTTTCTGACCAGCCTCCGCATGAACTGACCCAATCTTGCACTTGCGGTGCATCTCATCCCAGACGGCACAATCATCAGCTTGAAAATCCCATCCTGCGGCTTTGAGTTTCTCAATATCAAAGCAGGGCAGAAGTGGAAACTCATAGCCAGAACCAGATGACGCACGGGAGGAATCGTCAGGCTCTTGTTCCGAACTGGAACTCGCACTGCCTTCGTCGTTCGCACTGACTTCATCAGGAGGTGGAGTCGGAGGCTGTTGACTGGAACTCAAGCTGGAACTCGAGCTGGAAGAATCAGCCTTGTATGATAAACCAGAAGATTCGTCGCTGTTCCAGCCGTCCAAGCCCAACACAACTTGTTGCTGAGGCGGTTCCTCCGGAGGATCCGTCAGTGCAGCTTCACGAAGCCGGTCAGGAACCTCAATATCATGTCCCATGCGAAGTAACAGCTGTGTAGCCCAACCATGACGACGAAGTGCCCAAGGGGAGTTCACGTCCCTGTTGCCTTGCTTCCGCTTGCGAATTGGCACCACCCTGTGCTTGAGTCGTTTCTTCAAGCCATCGACGGCAGACCTGGAATAAGGGACCAAGCCTCTTTCAATTCGAAGACGATTCAGATGTTGCATCGCCATTGTCACGCTCATGCTCTTCCGTTCAATGCAGTTGGCGATGAAGACGGCATCTAACGAGTCGTTGGGGATGATCACGGGCTTGAGTCCAGCATGAACTCGCTGGCCAGTGTACACAATGTGCTGCTCGCAGCAGTGATGCAAGTCCGTGAAGACGTCAGCATACTTGGTCTGGTTGCTTCTTCGTACAAGTCTCTGCGTATCTTGACTTGCGTGCCATTGATGCCAATCCATGGAGTGTCTTCCGTGTCCTCGTGGAATGCATATTTGTAAGCATAAAGATATGCAATAGCCATCTTCTTCGCCCTCTCCTCTGGCAATATCTGCGCCAAAGCAGCCTTGACCTTCTGCTCATCCGGAATGTAATCCATGTCGTCGTCATCATCATGTTGATCAGGCTCCGAGTCTTCTTCTTCCATTGAGTCTTCGTCAGGCTTGAGGCGATCCGCCAAGGACCGGAGGGGCTCCTCCTCATCAGAGGAAAGATCTGCAAGACGAGCATGATGAGCACGACGGGTTGGACTCATCCCCAAAGCTTCAGCCACTTCACTCGCACGCTTGACACGCTTTGCTATTGCTTCATCATGAGGAGTCGGAGTGACAGTCTGTTGAGGAGCCGGCTTCTTCCTCTTCTTCTTGGCACTCAATCTCCTGCCCTTGCGGCGCTTTGGGGCCACTGGATTCGGATTCGGCATGGTGGTGAAGTGGAAGGATCAACGACGGGCGAAGAAGAGTAAACGATGGACAACTCGACAGACAACCAGAAGATTGGTCAGTGAACGGACGGAGCGTGGATGATCGGAAGCAGCCTTGTAAGATGACGTGACAGCACAAGCCGAGTGTAGAAGCAAAACTCAGATCCCAATGAAGGCCGAACGGCCGATCCCCATGGTTGATCGATCGACTGAAGAAGAAAGATAATGAAGAGCCACCATTTCGACAGAGCTTTCCTTGTAAAGTGTTGATAGTCAAAATAATGAGATGGTTTCCTTCGAAAATGAAGACACCTCCGACTGACTGATCCATCGATTCGATTCGGATGCGATCTTCTGCCGTTGAATCCGACACGAGTTTGAGCTCACTCAACCGGATGCCCATGGTTGCAAAAATCGATCCCATCTGACAAAGAAGCAAGACATCATGGTGGAAAGTTCATTCGGAAAGTCAAATTTCAATCGGATGTCTTGTGAGAGCAGCCGATGACATTCAACATGGTCGCTGATTGGTTTCCCGGAACGAGAGGATGTCATCAACATGAACGAAAAGAGATGCCCATGGCCAAAAAAAAGACTGACAAACATGGACCAAAATAAGTTGTGCGATTTACTTTGGATGCAATGACTAAATAGAGAATTCGAAAGACATTCTGTGACTGGAGAGCCGGCCATCTAGTTTAAAACTAAGCCTCATATTTTGGTCTCACATTTTCGAAATCCTATGAAAGACAGCAATTTCAGTCAATCCAATCCTCTGTGCAAGCTCTGTGAGATGAGGAAGTCATCAATCAAGCAAAAACATTTCGTCAGTCCACACCTAATACCTATGGGCACAGACTGACGAAACGTTTTTGCCCATTTGGAGCTTCCCTTATCTGGTAGACGTTGTACAAGATTCGATTCCGGACTGAAGCATCGGTACGGTAGTAGTATTGCTTCTACCGGTACAGCGTACCGGTACTGGTACCGGTACCACTACGGTAGATAGAAACGATTCGATTCTTCTTCACGCACCTCAGGCTTTCGCAACCTTTTAATTTAAAAAAAAGTAGTTGAATGTTCGAAAGCAGTGAGAGCTGACGGTGCTTGGCAAGGCAGGGTTCGGCGGCTTTGTGATTAGCCTTGCAAGAAACCACAGAATAAGTACCTTTGACTTATTTACGCCGACACTTGCATTTGTTTCATTTCTTCCTACCGGTACCGGTACCTCAGCCATGTCCCCCCCTAGCTCTTTTCTTTGGCAAAGTAGCACCGCAGTCATAGGCCTCCTCTCCATCCGCATAATACCTCTTCTCCATATCATGGACTTGATCATTCAGAGTAACACTGTGAGATAAAAGGCTGCTCGGTTTGGCTTTCTCACATGCAAGCTCACCTATCAGAGCTAAAGACATCTTGCATTTTATTGCCGTGTTGCGGTTGTTTGGGATTTTCGTCTGTCCTTCAAACGGAATCATGTTTCGAATATTCGGGTCACTTTTGTCGAATAATTCGATCGATCCATTTTCAGATTTTCAGTTGCGTGATGGACATCGTGTCATCGTGTCCGTCCAAAAGACGTCCATCAAACGAAGAGATTTCGGAGAGCGTTACTTCCAGAACTGTAGTGCAAGAGGAGAATAGGAACAGAAGAGTGTTACAGTCGTCCAATGGCAGAAGAAGAAGGATGGGTTGTCCCCTTTGTTCCCTTTGCGTCGAGCATTGATTCGCCTTTTTGGGTTCGATACTGTCGCGAAAAGCTGGAAACGATTCAATTGAGTGAAGATCCAATATCTCTTCGAGCCAGCTATGGCGTGGAAGGACCACCTCGATTGCAATGTCAAGAGAATGCCTTTCAAGAGCAGACTTCGGTTGTTGCCAATGAACGCGTCGGTGTGGCATTGACGTTGCGAGGGTTCAATACGATCGAATCCTTTCAGAAATGCGACAAGAATCAGATGATTCATGATTTCTTTGCACCCGAGTTCTTGGATTCCAGTCAATCGGCTCTCAAAGTCATGAATTCTGTGCTTCTCTGTGTGTATCCTGAACTTAAGAGCCACAGAGTCCTCTATTGGATGGGCGTCCCTGCGATCTTGACCTGCTCTGGAAAGTCCGTTCGTGCGACGCAACAGACACCCCTGACGGAAGCTTGGAGCGCTGAGGAAATACAACAATTAGACAACAACATTGACTCGTTGAGACGGTCCAATCTACAAGAAAACAGCCAGGGACTGCCTCCATTCTTTCTTGTCACCAAGACTACTTGCAAGAGCTTTTCCGTGGAATCCTACACACAACTAAAACAGCAATCCACATCGCCTGACGATGAGATTGTTTTTGCATTTTGCGATCCTTCAGGCCCAACACCCATCCAACCACAACAACCCATGGGATGGCCACTGCGAAATCTAGTGGCTTTCTTATGCCATCACTTGGACTTGGGAAGGAAGACTGTCAAAGTGCTCAGCTACAGACCTGCACTAATCCGACGCATTGTAGAGGAAAAAGAAAGCTCAGGTGGTGACATGGGTGACAAGAGTATTTTGCTCACCATTCGAGTGCCAAGCAAGAGTGACTTCGAATGGCCAGCCGTAGATGCTGCAGCGCCAAAGCAACACAAAGTCTTGGGATGGGAGCTCAATGCACGAAACAAACCAGGGCCCCGCTGGGTCAACCTAAGGCCGTTGCTGGATTCCAATCATTTGGCAATTCAGGCTGCTGACTTGAACCTCAAACTCATGAAATGGCGCATGATCCCCACACTCAACGTGGATCAACTCCAAAAAACCAAAGTCTTGCTCATTGGTGCCGGCACCCTGGGATGCAGTGTCGCACGAGTCTTGGTTGGATGGGGCATTCGAAACATGAAAATTGTCGATTATGGCAAGGTTTCCTATTCCAATCCAGTCAGACAGAGTCTCTTCACGCTCGAAGATTGTCATTTTGACAATGGGAGTGGACGGCTCAAAGCAGCTGCGGCATCGGATGCGCTCAAAACCATTGCGGCAGATATGCAAAGCGAAGGCATCAAGTTGTCCATACCCATGCCTGGCCACCCCGAGACACGAGAGTGTATCGAGGAGTCTGTTAGCACGCTAGACGCCTTAGTGAAAGAGGCGGATGCTGTCTTTTTATTGACCGATACACGGGAATCCAGATGGTTGCCCACGGTCATGGCTGCTGCACACGACAAGATCCTAATCAATGCCGCGTTGGGTCTGGATAGTTGGTTGGTGATACGCCATGGTGCAGGTGCCTCTGACGAGACAACCGAATGCCCCCGACTTGGATGCTACTTTTGCAACGACATCGTGGCACCCGAAAACTCGACCAAAAACCGCACGCTCGATCAGCAGTGTACTGTGACACGACCTGGATTGGCCCCCATTGCCAGTTCCATGGCGGCAGAACTTATGGTTTCACTCTTGCATCATCCAAAGCGGCAATCTGCACCGGCACCCAAGGCGGGTAGCATGGGAGCATTCTCTCCTACGGCTGCGAGCGACGATCCATCATCTTCAGGGCCCCTGGGTATCATCCCACACCAAATCCGGGGGTCATTGGTGAGCTACACCATGATGGCACCTACCGTACCAGCTTTCAAGCACTGCACGGCATGTGCTGCACCTGTCATTGAAGCCTACAAGAAAGAGAAAATGGATCTTGTTTTCAATGCCTGCCAATCAAAGGACGGTGTCTTTCTCGAGAATACGTCGGGTCTGACTGGTTTTCGTGCGGACGCAGCTGAAAAGATTGCGGACATGGAAGATTGGGACGAGGATGATGATGGTGACATGTAGGGGAGTGAGTAGTACCTGGTACCGTATTTTTGTGTGACAAGGTACTCGGCAGTTAGCAGCGCACCTACACCACCGTGCTGTTTTCTTGACTAGCACTTGCTGATTGCAGAAAGCTCTTCGAATAATTATCTTGGGCAGAAATCCAAACGTGAGGGATACCCGGCATAACCGTAGTTTTTCAACGTTTTGTATGAGATGGTCTCACGTAGGGGCATTTAGCGTGTAATTTAGTGGGGTGAGTGGTACAGTAGAATACATGTAGTACTCCAGCACCCGCCCTGACAAGAGGAAATCAGTTATGCCATTCCATTCGGATATAATGGATGGATGAGATCCAGGGCCCGCCCCTGGCCCCACTCCTGGAGCAACACAAAGTGCCCACGCTGCATATCCCTGGAACTACCTCCAGGTCAGAACATACCTTGTACAGCTCCTTGGACCATTATGGTTGTCAGCATTTGGTGCCGTTACCGGTACCGGTACCACCCGGTAGAGCTAATAGACACCGCGGAAGCAGTTGTTCTGCAAGATCTTCGAAGAACCGGTTTACCATGCAAATCGGGGCTGTCAGCTTCTCTTTCGTCTGGTCGACCTTCAAAGCCGGGTAGTTTCCATTATGAAAGTGGAAAGCATCAATCAACTGGCAGATATAGCTACAAAGCCACAGCCACCCCCTTTGTTTGAGGCACAACGCGAGGGGCTCCTACAGTGGCAATCAGAGTTCCTCACGGCAGCAGCCTCCCATCCCCCCAAAAGCAACACCTCGAGTTAAATTTGACCAAAGCCAAAAGCAACATCGACCAAAAGAAACAGAAGAAGCAAAGCAGATTGAAGATGGATGAATCAATGTCGGGTTGTGCTGCCGAGAAGGATATTGACATGCCAGAGCAGGACCTAGAGATGACAGAATCAAAGACAAGTTCTGATATCCCCTCTTCAGATCAAGATGAAATTGTGCTCAAGATTGTATCGGCGACCTATGGTCCCTGTGAAGGCAAAAGACTGAGCAATGAACCTACCGCGAAAATTCCGTATACACGAGATGTCACTCCCATTTTGAGAGCCCTGCTGCAGCTGCAAGAACATCAGTCAACCTCCACCATACCGGTAGCTGATAGCGAAGAAGAGGATCCTCATTTGGTGCGACTGCAGACCATTGCCGGTGGAATAGTAGGAGGCATGAAACGAACATCCGTGACCATCCAAGCACTGCACGATGGCTGGAATTCAATGAACGTCGTGTTTGGAGATGCCTGTCCTGGAACTTCCAAAAGGCTGTACATTCACTACCTCCTTCTCTCTGCACACAATACATCTAGCAAGACCACTGAAGTCCATCACGTGAGCTTTGCCGAACACGAGCCGGTCATTCTACGAAGTCGCATCACATTCTATCAAGAAGATTCCAAAATACAACAAGCCACCGAAAGACTACTCAAGAAGAATCCAAAAGCCCTTCAACAGAATCATCATTCCGAAAACATCAACAATCTGCAACAACACACTTCTACATCATCTAGCATCCAACAACCAGAAGAGGATGAGGACGAACTCACCCTGTGGGTAGCACGAAGGATGGGACGATCACAATCAATTGACGACTTTGCACAACTTTCACAATCGTCTTCACAAGATCAATCATCTCGTCCTCGATTACGCTCTGCAACCTTTGAAACTGTGCTGCCCATGGTATTGGAGTTCTTGCAGCTCACTGAAAGAGTGCAGTGTCGATTGGTCTGTCGACTGTGGAGGAATATTGTAAGGGATTGGGGAGTTGCTGCTGTCATTGACTTTCATCAGGACATGACAAGAGCCTTTCTTCGAGGTATCGTCACACATTCCTACTTCAGCTTGCACAGTCTCCGATTGTCCGACTTTGATGAATTGCAACCCTCCGATTTGCATCCCTCTCTTCCCCATTTGCGCAAATTGCGGGTCTTGGACATTAGCCGCTGTACCAATTTACAAGATGAGACACTGCAGCTTGTGGCACAACATTTGAACGACACGTTGGAGGTGCTGTATATGAAGGGACTTATAAATGTGACGGATGTTGGCATGATGGCCATTTGCCAGGCCTGCACCAAACTGCGAGTACTCGAAATTTCTCATATTCAGAGCATGACCGATGCCAGTGGTGTCGCCATTGGACAGTATTTGCACAATCTACGGGCCCTTTATATGAGAGACAATTTTCGATTGACAAATCAAAGCATCGATGCCATCACAGCCAATTGTACCAAATTGAACCAATTGACCTTGTGGGGCTGTTCGAAACTCACCCGGTTGGGAAGCTCTGCCATTCGAACCACTAATGCCGTGGACGTTGATAGCCCTGTTGTAGCAAGTACAGGCAACCAAGACAATGAGATTCCACTGAACGTCTACAACCAACATGCTCCTCTGATGGCGTGTGCGGAGAGACTGGTATCACTCAATCTTTGGGGATGTCTCAAGTTGGGAGACTCGTTTGTGACAGCTTTGGAGGGGATGACCAAGCTGAGGAGTCTCATTGTTTCGGAGTGCCACAAGCTCACAGACAAGTTTGCGGTAAGTAGCCCACCAAGCAGATAGACAGAAAGCGTTGTTCATTGCGCTGAATACTTTCTTACTTTATCAAAGATTGTAATCGCTGAGAGCTTGCCTCAGTTGCTGCATCTCCATTTGAGGTATTGCAAGCGATTGACAGACATTGGTGTAAGTGCGATCGCCCGCGGCATGAACATGCTGTACTCTTTGGATTTGAGCTTTTGTTCAAGAATCACGGCGGCGTCCATCTGTGAACTTTTGGATTTGAGGCGTGAGACGCTGTCAGAGCTGAGGCTGCAGGAGTGCCGACAACTGCTGATTGCGAGGGATCCGGACGATGTGGATGATCACAACAATAGAAGGGCACTGCGACGACAGCAGCAACAACAACAAGCCAGACAGTCAAGACCGGATCGTGACGGCCAATCCATTCTCAGGTCGCTTCGATCATCCAAAAGCTCACTATCAATGCTGGATCTTCGCTGCTGTGGTGGACATCCCAGAATCGATACTGCTTATCCTGAGAATGAAACATTTGTCAAGGGAATGATCCGACTGGGGTTCCAACAAAAGACACCTGGATTCTTCGCCCGTCCAGCCCAGTGGAATGCAATCATACTATCCAGCGCTTTATTAGGGCTCGTTGACCATAGAGTTGATAAGGCTCGCGGTGGTTGATGGGTCCTTTATGGGATGGAAGGCAGCAGAGCGTTGAAGGGCCAACCTGACGTTCCAGCTGGCTGGCGGTCCAGGTAGTTTAGATGTAGGCCCGCGAGGTTAAGTGCTTCTACTTACTCCATTATCTAGCTTGTCTGAAGGCCTGAAGGTATGAATATTGCCTTAGCTACACCACGAAACTTGCAGCAGCAATGCTCACCAAAGTCCAAGCTTGCTCCATGTTCTCACCAGCGAGGCTTCCATCCATGTACATGCACCTCCTTGCTTCTGAGAGGACCCGTTGCTTACCTGTAGAGTATCAAGTGACAATCCTATTTTAAATGGCCGGCTCTAGGCTACAAACTTGAACTCCTCACCAACTTATACGGCGCATCACTCAAGTCCCCGTTCTTGTGGCTCCTGGCCCATCCACCCCGAGTTCTGCCTTGAGCTTGCACTGGTAACCTTGGCCTTCTGCCCTCTGGGTTCCACTTTCTAACTAAAAGAGTGCACTTCATTATCCCCTCCGCTGTAATGCACAGCTCCCGGCAGCAGTGTAGAGTTAGCAGCAGCTACATGTACTTGCTCCGGTGTTTCCCTGCCTGCATCTGGCTACCGGTAGCTGAGCCAGTGCTACCCCGTGGTGCCGCAGCGTGGAAGAGCAACATCGCACCGGTAGCCTAATCCTTAATCATCTAATCAAGTTTCCTAACGGGACTCGCCCCTTTTTTCCCTCCTGAATAAATGATGCTTCAACGGCATTTCAAGGGAAGGCATCTCAGCGTGATGGCAAGAGAGGTCCAACGCCAGAGTGCAGATTAGGCGGAGCAATGGTTTAAATCCGTCTTTTTGAAAGTTTCTTCCCGCTCCCTGGTCGCATTGTTATTTGGACCATGACCAAATCCAAAAGCAAGCGTCGTGAAAGCAAGAGCCGCCGTGGCGACAGAGGACTAGATCCTCCCTCTAATAACGATGCTGCAAGTTCGATTGGATCAATTTTCTTGGAAGACTCAGAAGAACTGGCCCTGAAGCAACGTGAAAGCACAGATGTCACAGTTCCAGATTTCAATCTTGCAGATTATGATCTCGGAGAAGACTACTCTTTCCAGGATCATTGTGATGAACTGACCTCTGAGTGTGAAGACAAGAGGTCTAGCCAGGACTACGGAGAAGGCGAAAGCCTTGATGCCGTCGACACTACGGCGATGACGACACGGACTTATTCCTATTCTGAACTGGTGGCTACCTTGGGCAGTGATTCGGAGCACCTCAAATCAATGCATCCTCGATTGCACCGTCGTGTCAGAGATTTTCGGTTTGCCAGGCGAAAGAGACGCGAAAAACAAGGCACTCACAAACCATGGGGGATATTCGGTCTCTATGCTCACCTCTCCGACATTCGAATTGATTTGGAATGGGCTGAAGATGCTGCCTGGAGACGTGAAAATGGTGAACCATATCTCAGCTGGGCTGATTATGAGAAGGCACGGAACAAGGGCATGAACAGGCCCTTGTTTTCCTACTTGACTGTCTTTATCTGCACCGTTATGATGATTGTCACCTTCTCCCTCAATGACTGGAAAATTGAGCCCCTCAGCGTGAATCCCCTGATAGGGCCCTCTGCTGAAGTACTTATTCAAGCTGGGGCTCGCGACACTGCCCTGATTGTCAATGAAGGGCAATGGTTCCGCCTCATTTCCCCCATTGTTCTCCACGGCGGAGTGATCCACTTTGTGATCAACATGATGGCATTATGGTTCATTGGAGCTGCTGTCGAACAAAGCCATGGCTTTGCTAGCGCTGCCATCTTATTCTTTATCCCTGCAGTAGGAGGGAACATTCTCAGTGCCATCTTTCTACCACAGTACATTAGTGTGGGAGCCAGTGGTGGAATATTTGGATTAATAGGTGGCTGTGTTGCGGATGTAGCCTTGAACTGGAATCTACTGTTCATTAAAGGGGAAGATGAAGACGATGTTACCAAATGCCAGCACTGGTCTGCTTTCTTCTGGTTGTTTGCAGACATTGTTGCCAACGCAATTCTGGGGCTAACGCCTTTTGTGGACAACTTTACACATCTTGGTGGACTGCTGTACGGCCTCTGCTGTGGAATCTCGACTATTGAACGCTTGGCTGTTGGTTTCTTTGGCGTCGGTACCGGACGGTGCTCGCGCATTCGGAATAGCCTTGTCCGCTTTTGTGGACTTATCTTCAGTGTCTTCCTCATCATGATCACAACGGTCCTGTTGGTTGGAAGTGACGGGGCCACAAGTCCTTGCCCGTCGTGTCGCTATGTTTCATGTGTTCCCTTTCCCTTTGGAGCTGAAAACAAGTGGTGGAACTGTGATGACTGCGACTTTGCTGTCGCTGATCTCGTCAAACTTCATGCTACTTCGGTTGCCTACGACAGGATTGACTTGACCTGTCCTGACGGAGAGATTGCTCTCATTGACATTACAACAGAGAACATTAGTGACCGTGAAGAAGCCAGGGGTATGCTTCCCAAGTTTTGCAGAGATCACTGTGCTGATGTGTTCTCAAACTGATATGCTGCAACTGGAGAATGGGCTGAAAATGAAGCTTTATGGGGCATGGGCGGGCAATCCAAACTGGTTCCTATCTTCGTCCCACTTGGTTAGATGGGCTATGCTTCTACTAGGTCTAACTAGCAATATCTGAATCGAAGCTATTACGGTAGTTTGCTTTTTAAATTGTCTTCTTGCTACAGACATCCCTGACCTAATAACCTCAAAACCCAACCGGTGTGGTACGTACTAGCACAGTCGTACTAGTACCGGTACAACCACCGCCTCGAGCTGGCAAGGATTCTTCCTTTCTGCCCTAATATAAACCAAATCCTTCTGCTGGGATCTGACCGACAGACAAAGGGTAGTACAGTACCAGTACTTGGTAGCAAAGCCTACAGTACGGTAGACAGTGACGGGTGTGACCTTCTCTCTGCTGGTTGGTACCGAAACGGTACCGGCACAAACGGTAACTGAGAAAGAGAGCTGGTAATCAAGCAGCTCAACAGGATTATCATTCAGCCTCCGCCGGAGTGCGGACGAGGGCCTTTGCGGAAGCTCATTATTCTCCCAAACTTCTCCTCCCGCCACAGGAGTTTATCAGACTTCTTTGTCGACCACTCATCGGCCATCGGCTTCTTTACGTGTGCATTGGCATTTTGTGGCTCCAATTTATTTGCTCTCCTCGAAACAATGGCGTCCCACCCAGATACCAAAGTTGATTGCTCGAAAGTCTACATCAAGGCGTCTTCTTTCGCCACTCCCGACAACCAGTTCGATGGCGCTTTCGCTCTCGTGCCCTTCAAAGAGGGTAAGTAGACACTACCTGGTATCTGTTTTGGTTGGCAAGCCTCGATGACTAATACTTGTATCCTTTTCCAGGCGAACTGATCGAAAAGGGAGTTATGAGGCGTCTTCCCGATGGATTCGATGGAAACACCTGTCCGTACATCTTCACTTGGTCCACAGAGCGTCCGAACAAGACTTGGGGCATGGGAAGCGGCACTTCTGCATTTTATAACACCGCTGCAGAGGGAGACGCCAATACCAAAATGGTCCGATTCTTCGACGAGGATAGGTACGACAGTCATGTTCCTGCTTCAGTTCTGCGGCTAAAAGAAGCTAAACATTGTGCGTGTGTCATTGGTTCAGGTTTGAGATTTATGCAACTCGAGACATTGAAAAGGACGAAGAGCTTACCCACACGTATGTCTCTTTGAAGTGGCGTACCTGCTTTGCAGATCTGAATGAGATTGTTCACGCCAAGAAATAGGAGGTCCCGGCTAAAAGGGCATCACCTACGTATAGTCCATTTTTGAAGGTTCAAGTGCTGAGATGCGAAAGGTTTTCTTGTTGTGGAGGAGCCAGGATCAGTTTTAAACTGTGCACATAACTAGCTTAAGGTTCACATGTAAATAGAAAGGTACTTACTTCTTCCGGCGGAGACCGTGAAGGTGTCATGTTAGCTTTTTTCTCTGGCTATCTCAAGGTGGACCAGCCACAGCTTTGCTTTGCTTGTCCTGGCCGGCAGTATGGCATACACAAGCTCGCAAAAGGACACGAGTTGAGCTGACACAAGCTTCCGTTGACAGCGACAATCATAAATGAAACGATTTCGCTTCAGTGCGTCCATCTCCTTGAAGTAATAGGTCCTCGTCCTGAGTACAGGTGGGCCTTTAGCTAGCAATGCAGATTGGAATCGATACTAGTAGTTCGGATACTTGGCAAGGTTCCTACTACTAATATAGCGACAAGCAGACAAGAGCAAAAAGTATATACAAAGAAGGATCCTACTAGGGAGACATTATTTCTCTATGGCTTCGCAATCTCAAGACTTACACACTGCTTGGCATGTTTTGGAATGGAAGGCTCTCCCTGTTCTTGTCCTGTCCAAGGATCTTGTAGTCAATTGTCTGTGCCTTGAATTGCACAAGCATCATTTGGAATTCCTCAGCAGACACAACCTCTTGCTCCATCAAGACGTTCGCAAGGTGGTCAAGAAGGTCCTTGTTCTCACTCAAGATCTTCTTGGCAACGAGGTAACTGTTGTTGACAAGACGTTCGACTTCTTCCTCAATGGTTCCCATGAGCTTGTTGCCCCATTGGGTTGGTCGACGAAGCATCATTTGTCCCATGAAGGGACCTCCACCAGAAGGTTCTGACACAGCAACGCGTCCAACCTTGTCACTCATTCCCCACTCCTTCACCATGCGCTTGGCAATGTTGGCAACCTGTTGGATATCGTTAGAAGCTCCAGTTGTGACAAAGTCCTCCCCGTAGATGATCTCTTCAGCAAGACGTCCACCAAGAGCGACGGCAAGCTGGGATTCAAGGTATTGCTTGCTGTACATGCCAGATTCCAATCGAGATTCCTGAGGAGCAAAGAAGGTCAGACCTCCAGCACCGTTGGAACGAGGGATGATGGTAATCTTCTGCACTTGATCATAATCAGGGACAAGAGCTCCAACGATGGCGTGTCCGGCTTCGTGGTAGGCAACCAACTCCTTTTGCTTCAACTGGGGGTTTCCTCCCTTCTTTTCCAAGCCAACCATGATACGGTCAACAGCTCCATCAATTTGCTCCCATCCAATTGTTGACTTTTCGGCACGAGCAGCAGCAATAGCGGCTTCGTTCATCAAGTTCTCCAGTTGTGCTCCAGAGAATCCAGGTGTACGACGGGAGATGGCTTCAAGATCCACATCGGGTTCGAGGGGCTTTCCACGAGAATGGACTCCCAAGATGCGAGTGCGTCCCTTGAAGTCAGGAAGGTCAACAGTGACCTTACGATCGAAACGTCCAGGACGGAGCAAGGCCTGATCCAAGATATCGACACGATTTGTGGCGGCAATGGTGATGATTCCTGGGTTTCCATCGAAACCATCCATCTCCACCAGAATTTGATTCACAGTTTGTTCACGTTCATCGTTACCTCCAGCGTATCCGGCACCACGTTGACGACCAACAGCATCAATCTCATCAATAAAGATAATGCAAGGAGCATTCTTCCTGGCTTGAGAGAAAATGTCACGGACACGAGAAGCTCCCACACCAACAAACATCTCAACGAATTCGGAACCAGAGATACTGATGAATGGCACACCTGCTTCACCGGCAACAGCCTTGGCGAGAAGCGTCTTTCCGGTACCTGGAGGACCATCCAAGATGACACCACGAGGAATCTTGCAGCCATTCTTGGTGTATGCCTCGGGTTGTTTCAAAAAGTCGACAACTTCGGAGAGTTCCAATTTAGCACCGTCGCATCCGGCAACATCGTCAAAGGTAACTCCAGTGTCAGGAACCATTTGAATTCTATTTTAAGAGCATTCATTGACAAGAAACAAACAAGAATCATTAGACACTTTTTGAAGCAAAACTCGCGAAAACCTTCCATTCCTTTTCATAACTCACTCAGCCTTGCTCTTTCCGAATCCCATGGGATTTCCTGGTCCTCCCATGCCTCCACCAGCTCCACCTCGTCGGCTCAAGAAGAAGAGACCGGCAAAGAGAGCAGCAGGGAAGATCAGACTCTGGGCCAATTCTCCAAGTCCACTAGCTTCTTGCTGAGGCAGCACAGTTACATCGACCTGCAAAAGTAAACCCAAAAGATACAAGACAAGTCAGGGTGAGTAAAAATCGCAAGCGGTATCTCAAGTACAATTTATTAACAGATAGGGAAAATGACGCACCTTGTGGTTGGTCAACGAAGTGAGAAGCTCAGGGTCATTGGGGAGGGCTTCAATTCGAATGCGGGCTCCATCGACATCAACTCCAAGGAGCTGTGTGCCGTCGGCGCTGAAGGTAACCTTTTCAATTTTGTCGCCGTCGACGAGCTTCAAAAAGTCCGAATAACGGACTTCAGTGGGCTGTCCGTATGCATTTTGAGTAATGGCGGGCACACTGGAGGTTGTTTCGGCAGGTGGAGCAGGAGCTTCCATGTCCATGGCCATGAACCGTTGCGAGTTGCGAGTATTGCTACGAGCCTTGGACTGGACCATGGAGTGGGGAGCAAAGGCAGTTGCCTTCTCCGCCAAGAGGAGACCTGCGATGACAGTGGATGCTAGTTTCATTTTGATGTTGGGGGTATGGTGTCGAGTAGGAGATGGTTGTTTCTATGCGCAGCGAGCGAAATTGTGTCTCCCGTTGGGCTATGTTTGCTGCACTGCTAAAGATAGGTTTCGAATGACTCGGTCTCTGGATGTGGCCGAGCGATCAACTCAGTCTTATCCAGGATAGATTTTTGGGAATGCTTCGAATGATCAATCAATCTACCGGTAGCTGCTCACTCAGTTACTCACTCACTCAGCGGAAACAATCTTGTGCTTTCTCCAATCCTCGATGCTAGCTCAGTGCAAACGGTATCAACGGAATAAGCTGTGACACAGCGAACCGTGGCAATCAACGCTACTAGTATGTCAGGGCCAACACTGCCATGGACGTGCGTCGGTTAGCGACATTGGATCTTTCACAGAATTGGATTCTTTGGGACTGGCATCACTGAGTCAGTCGCTGCTGGGTCTGAAAGAGAGCCTTAGTCTTAATACAGATTATTAACTCTACTTGAGATTGTTAGAGTTATGCAAACCTTCCACGTGAAAGCGAACCCAAACGCCCATAACATCCGGGTGCCCTCACACCCACCAACACCAAAGCCAAATCTGTCCACTCATACTAGCTAGAGCTAGCTAGAAGCAGAAGCCAAACAACAACTTGTGTCATCTTGTTGGAACAGGACATCTCTCTAGCTAGGTCACCCCTTGTTTCGTCTTCCCATACACAGCAAACAGAGCCATGATCAAGCTGAGCGCATTTGTGACGTTGCTCCTGGCGAGCGTGGAGCTTGTACCAATAGTGCAAGGTGCCCGAACGAGACGATCGGAACGTCGAAAGATGAACCTGGACAGTTTGGAATATGTAGAGTATCCTCGTCGTACAGAAGATGAAGCTGCCGTTCTGGAATGGGGACACTCTGCCATTATCTCGGCATTGGATGCCTCTGTGGCCTTTTTTGGACCGCAAACTTCTCAAGCAGCATTGCTGGAAGTTGAATGCATGCCCATCTTGGCATCACCCTTGACGGGGGTTCGAGAAGGCGAAACTCTAGAAGAAGAAGAGGAAGAGGAACCGGCTGCAGAGGGCGAAGAAGGAGAAGAAGGAGAAACTGCACCCGAGGAAAAACCACCAAAAAAAGAAAAGATTCTACCTTTGGATAATGCCGAAGAAGTTCATGGGAACATGGTAGTCATGACAAACACGGGCAAAATCAGTGGTCTTCGCATGGCCAAGATTGCCAAAGCAAGTGGTGCTGCAGCATTACTCATTGTCAATATCGATGATAAACGCCCAGATGATATCTACCGTTTACAAGTACAAGAAGGCGAAGAAGGGGCTGAAGATATTGATATCCCTGTGGTCATGATATCCATGAACTCTGCCAACGTCCTCACATCGGCTACCGTTACACCCAACATGGCTGCAGAGGATATTGTCAATCACGGAATGCCAGAACGTGTCCGTCTCTACGCGGGAGGGGATAGACCCTTTTTCGAAGATGTCGAACCTGCTGACCCGACACTCTATCTTATTCACAATCTACTGACAAAACAAGAATGTGACAATCTCATTGAAGCGGCAGAATCAAAGGTATCGCCCGTCACTAAGGATGATATTCTCCAAATGACATTGACTTCGAACGATGTAGAGGGGGTTCACAGGATCATGCTATGGCAAGGCCTCCTTCAATCGCCTACCAAAAAGGCCATCGAGGAGCGAATCGAACAAGTCACAGGATTTCCGGCCACTCATTACAGTGACTTTATCGTGGACCGAATTGAGCCGGGTGGTCGCTGGAAACCCCATTACGACGCCAAAGAAGGGTTGGTCCCCCCGACTGCATCCATCACTGTCTTTTTGAGTGACGAAGGTGGACCTCTCGTGTATCCCTTGAGCAAAGACCCCGTCAAGGTCCTGGCTCGCAAGGGTGTGGCTGTAGTCCATCACAATACCAACGAACGACAACAGTTGGACCAGAATACGTTGCATGCGTTGCTTCCATCAGAAAGCGCCGGAGCCGTCTATGTGGCTCGCAAATATGTATATCCCATTCCAGTGGCGACTGCTCGGAGATTGGCTCTCCCTGTCTTTGCGGCACCATTCGGTGGCAAGTTGCCGGAGCCCGTGGTCCAGCTTCACGATGCTTTGGTGGAGAACTTTGGCCCCGAGACAGGTAGTTTCTATTTTGACAAGCTGTGTGTGTTCTTCCCCATGCTGTTGATTTTGGGCATTGCACAGTTGATTGGAAGTGCCGTACATCAAAAAATGACAGAACCTTCGGCAACCACCACCACCACGAAGACGTCAAAGCCAAAATCAGGCAAGAAGCGAAAAGAAAAGGACTCAAAGAAAGACTAATGCAAAATATTTATTGTTTATTATAGATCGTCTCTTTCACGTTTTACAATCACCCATTGAATAATTTAATCAATCTATGCATGTTGTGGTTGTGGTAGTCAGTGTTGGGCAATGCTTCAGAAACATCAACGAGCGCAACCAAATAGCTAGCTGCCCAGACCTGTGCCCTTTGTGCTCGACTCTCCTGCGCTTGTTTGCTATTTGCTATCTGGATACAGTACTGTTCATGTAGTACCGTACCTGGCTGCGGCTACCACTACCAGTACCGGTACGTTGGTGGGCTGTCTGTCCACCATCGTGAAGTCCAGTCACGAACTTCAGTCCACAGTCATAGTCATTGGCTGTCTTTGGATCCACGCTCCCTCAACAACTCAACAACGCACAAAGAAAAGAAAGCAACCAACCATCAAAGACATTGTCGTGGAGACGACGGCATCAACCGCAATCACAACCTCGACGTTGTAGATAGGTAGTTAACCATGCTTCAGAAGCCGGGATCGTCCTCAGGGCGCAATAAGAACTACCAGAGTCGCCGGAAGACTCAGGAATCTCCTGAACAGGTTTTGCGTGGACTGCAACGCATAGGCCCCAACAAACGATGTGCTGACTGTAACTCAAAGTTGCCAAGTTGCGTCAATCTGACGGTTGGTACCTTTATCTGCATCTCTTGCGCTGGGATCCATCGTGAGCACAATCACCGTGTTAAGGGCATTGGACACTCTAGCTTTTCGCCGGAAGAGGCCGAACAAATGAAAGGCACGGATAATGACAAAGTCAATCAAATCTATCTGGCGCGATACAACCCTGGCACAGACCGCTTAAGGCAGCCCCAGGATAACTCTGACTTGCAGTTGTTGAGGGCATGGATTAAACGCAAATATCATGATAAGGCGTGGTATGCCAATAATCAGCCGACGATGGCGCAGATCCCGCCGAAGAAACAACAGCAACAAGCGCCTAATAGACAGCCACAAGGAGATCTTTTGGGTGCTTTTAACGCTCCTGCTCCCAGTCAGCCAGGAGGTGGCGGATGGGATGCTTTTAGTGGAAGCAGTCAAGCACAGGCCGGTAACCAAGCTGGAGGATGGGACGCTTTTGGTGGAAGTGCCGGTAACCAGACGCAGCAAGGTGGTTTTGCTAATTTCAACCAGCAGCAGCAGCCACCACCACAACAAAATCAACAAGGTGGATTTGCTAACTTTGGTGCACAGCCAGCTCCACAGCAGCAACAGCAGAGCTTTGCCAATTTTCCTGCTGCCCCTGCCCCACAACAGGCGCCCCAACAGAATCAGCAACAAGGAGGTGGATTCGCAAACTTCAACCAACAGCCTGGTCAGCAGCAGAATCAGTTTGGTCAGCCACAGCAGCAGCAGCAACAGCAATCTGGAGGATTTGCTAATTTCAACCAGCAACAGCCAGCTCAACAACAAAACCAACAAGGCGGATTTGCCAATTTTGGAGCACAGCCAGCTCCACAGCAGGCTCCTCAACAGAGTCAGCAGCAAGGTGGAGCATTTGCGAACTTCAACCAGCAGCCCACTCAGCAGCCCACTCAGCAGCAGAATCAATTTGCTGGGCAACCACAGCAGCAGCAGCCATCTCAGCAACAAGCTGCAGGATTTGCAAATTTCAACCAGCAGCAAAAACCACCCCAGCAGTCTCCACAACAAAACCAACAAGGTGGATTTGCAAATTTCGGGGCACAGCCAGCTCCACAGCAGCAGCAGCAGCAGCAACAGCAGGGCTTTGCAAATTTTTCATCTGCGCCTGCCCCTCAGCAAGCTCCTCAACAGAATCAGCAACAACAAGGTGGGGGATTTGCAAACTTCAACCAACAGCCGGCTCAACCACAGAATCAGTTTGGTCAGCCACAGCAGCAGCCACAGCAACAGCAGCAACCCGGGGGGTTTGCTACTTTCAGCCAGCAGCAACCACCACCGCAGCAGCCGCCACAACAAAACCAGCAGGCAGCTCTGCAGCAGAATCAGTTTGGAGGTCAGCAACAACAGCAACCCCAGCAGCAAGGCAACTTCAACCAGCAGCAGAACCAGCTGGGACAGCAGCCAGCTCAGCAGCAGCAAGGAGGTGGATTTGGCAATTTCAACAAACAACAGCCAGCTCCACAGCAGAATCAGTTTGGTGCTGTACCACAACAGCAATCTGATGCATTTGCTAATATGAACCCATCTCAACCTCCTCAGGTGCAGCAGCAACAGCAAACCCAAGCTCCACCACTGCAGACTCAAGGAAGTCAGTCGCAGCAGCAGATGGGTGGATTTGGACAGCAGCAACAAGGAGAAAAAAACGCAGACCCGTTTGCGAATATGGGTCCACCCCAACAGCGGCAGCCTCCCCCGCTTCAGGCCCATAGCCCTGCACCACCACAGCAGCAGCAACAGACGCAGCAGTCGGCAATCTCGAATCTTCAGAATCTTGCCTTGTCGTCGCAACCCGTCAACGCAGCGACAGGGGCTCCTCAGGGAACTTCGTCAATGAATGGTGGCGGCGGTGCTACTCAGGAACAGATGGAAACGAAACGTTCGTTCGACATTCCGTCTCCTACGCGTGATGTGAGTGGGGCGCAAACTCCCACTCGAATGCCGGCTCCTGCCGCTGCATCCACAGCGCACTCGGAAGCGTCTGTGTCTGCAACCTCTCGGGGGAGTGTTGCTAAGTACGCCAAGGGCCAGAAGGTGTATTATAGGAACTCTTCCATGACTACCGAGGCGACTATTGTGAAGGTTCACTTTGACGATGCCTTGGAACCGTTCTACACCGTGAACATCGACGGCAAAGAAAAACAGACTGATGATGCTCATTTGTTCAAGGACCATCCTCTTCAGTGCGATATTGTGAAGGTGCTCGAAGGAATGACCGAAACACAGCTACAACAGGTGTTGCAGTACGTGAAACAAGTGAGTAGTGGCAACACTGCTCCGGCACCAACCCCTGGCCCGGCCGGTGGAATGCAGCCGCAGAGCTTTTCGCAGAAGTCACCTGCTAGGACACAAGGGGTGCTTCAACCTACCGCTCAATCCCCTCTGCCAACCATGGCGGCCAACGACAAAGCGCGGAGTCTCAGTCCAATGCCGGCTCCAATTCCAGCCTCTGCGCCAGCCCCTTTCCCCACGCCACAGATGCAGCAGCCCGCACAGGCTGGAATGAATCCCAACGTAATGGGTTCCGGAGGCCAAGGCTTGTCGATCCCTGATATGACCCCACAACCGGCACCCGCCCAAGCACCCTCGCCTCAAATGCCGATGAATGCAAACGCTCCTGCGCCGATGCCTGGACCTGGCTCTATGGCCCCTATGCCAGCACCCGCGATGGCTTCGCCTATGCCAGCACCCAACATGGGGTCACCTATGCCAGCACCTAACACGGGGTCCACGATGCCTGCGCCCAACATGGGATCACCCATGCCTGCTCCGAACATGGGATCCACGATGCCTGCGCCCAACATGGGGATGGGGTCCACGATGCCTGCACCCAACATGGGGTCGTCGATGCCTGCTCCCAAAATGGGGATGGGGTCCACGATGCCTGCTCCCAACATGGGATCACCCATGCCTGCTCCCAACATGGCTTCCAACCAAAGCGGTGGTCTTAGCATGCCAGCTCCAGGACAAATGCAGCAGCCGAACAACATGGGCTTCGGGGGCATGAGTGCCGCCCCGCAACAACAGCAAAATCTGGGCAACCAAATGCCCTTGTCGCAGCAGCTCCAGCAGCAACCTCAACAGCAGCAGATGCAGCAGCAACCTCAACCTCAACAGCAGCAGATGCAAGCACCACCACAAGGAGGAAACCCTTTCGATTTCTATTGATCCAAGAGGGAAAACAGAATGCAGCAAACCGTATACATGTTTTTGTGCGTGGAAATATAAAATATTAAAGTAGAAATGAGGAGAAATTTGGTTGCTGTACATGTAGAACAGGGTGAAGGGGGAAGTTAGCATCTACCTCTACCTTGTCCTGGTGTTAATGGGCAATTTCTCGCCAAGCTCTTGAATCTTTCGAATGTGGCGCAGGTCACAGGCCTTGCACAAAGCATTGATTCGTTTGGCCGACTTTTCCTTTATGGAATGCTGTGTCTTTGCAAGGTTCAGTTTTTGACAGAAGAGCATCTCGCCCTTGTCGCAGCAGCTCCAGCAGCAACCTCAACAGCAGCAGATGCAAGCACCACCACAAGGAGGAAACCCTTTGGACTTCTATTGATCCAAAAGGAAAACAGAAAAGAAGCATACTGTATACATGTTTTTGTGTGCAGAAATATAAAACTATTAAAGTAGAAAGGACGAGACACTTGATTGATGTTCGTGTAGAACAGGGTGAGAGGGGAAAGGCTAGAATCTACCCCTTCCTCTACCTCGGCCCGGCGAACGACCACCCCTGCCGCCAAACCCTCTGCCTCCTCCTCTTCCGCCTGGGGACCTTCCTCCTCTGCCGCCCATTCTTCCTCCACGGCCTCCGGGAAACCGTCCACGACCTCCTCTTCCACTCCTCGTCCGCCGCCACTCCACGGCTTTTTCCAGCGCCATTAGGATCTGTGAACCTAACCAGTGGCAACAGCTTGTCGGTTCCTACGTAGACAAGATCATCTGGTTCAAAGCTCTTACTCAGGACACCTGGGTCCATTTTGACAGTGAACATGATATGAGCAACTTTCCCCAGGATTTCATCGACTTTGCCAACTCGCTTCTTGTTTTTCAGGTAGACGCCCGCATTAAAGTATGGCACCTTTTCAGGAATGGTCCACTTGCAAACCAACTCTGATTCGCAATCATGAGATACCATTCCAGCCTCTGCCAACACACAAAAAACAAAAGTGACGATTGAGCCATGTGCCATGGGACCAAGATGTCCTAACCATCATGATGCTTAGGTAATCGGGAAGATTAGAGCTCGGATATCGTATGGCAGCGTACGTACCAACAATTTCATCGGGAGGACCTTCTTCGCGGAAACTGCGACCTCTGCCGCCTCTTCCACCTCCTCTCCCGCCTCTTCCACCAGGAGACCAACCACGGCCGCCTCTACCTCCTGATGCGCTTCGCATGGGTGCTCTCATTCTACTCTATATCTTTCTGTTCTTCCTTGCTGCAGCGAGAATCTCTGTGCTGTCATGGTCGAGTGGTTGGAAATTGCTTGGTCCAGATTTGCTGCTCTGGGCGAGTCGAGTCACGAGTGTGCACCCGAGAACCGAAAACTCTAGTTCTAAACCAAAACTGAAAGACGATGCCTGCCAACCACCAAAGTTCCCACCCCTCAGGAAAAGGAAACCAAACAAACCAAACGACCATGGCCAAGAAGAAGAACAAGTTGGCGTCCCTCGAAGCTGCGAAGGCATCACACAAGAGCAGCAAGCGAAAGAGACGAGAGGTACAGGTGGTATCCTGTCCTGCGGACTTTCCCGTTTCCGCAAGAAAAGCGGCTGAAAAATTGAATACGCCACCGACGAGTGATCCCTCCGACAACAACAACCACAATAGACGGAAACTACTGGATTGGAATGACACTGCGCATGAAATCCGCTCACTCGGAGCAACGGCGTTTGTAGGCCAAGACAAACGAAGTTTTGACGACGAACAGTATGAGTTTCTCACGGGACGTAAAAGAAAAAAGCACGCTGTTCCGCTCCCAATTGTCCGTGGCATAAAAAAGGCGGCGGCGAAGCGGACAGCCAGACAACTTCAAGAGGCCAGAGACTCGGGTACTGTCTTGCCAAAGAGCATGACCAAGAAAAACAAGAAAGAACAATCGGATAAGACTGCACAGATTCATGGACCTGCCCCCAGCGTTGGGTTTATGATGAAAGGTGTGCTCAAGGTCAAAGCACCACCTTGAGTGTTACCCTGGAATGATGAATCCTCCTTGTCGGGTTACTACCTAGGAGGATATTTCGAGTGTTGAAATTGCTATTCTTATATTTGTATGTGATAGCTCTAGATTTCTATTGTGTATGGCACGTAGACTCGACTCGACTCTTATCGCGTCCTGTACCTGTTCCCGAAGAGATATATATATAGCTTAGACTTTCTTGGGATCATGCATGTTGAATTCGTCGAGCAATTCATCCACCACAGTGAGAGTTTTCCGCAGCTCTTTGCAAAGCATTTGTATATGCTGTTCCAAAAGTTGGCGTGAAGATTCAACGCTCTCCTCCATTGGGGATAAGCTCTCCGTACCGGTACTGATCGAGGAGACGTCGCTTACGGTGCGGTCGGTATAGGAGAGGAAGGGTTTATCGTCGTCTTCCTCTGGGTACAGAGACGACTGTCGCAAGTCATCAATGTATGGAAATACTTGCAACAGAGATCGGCAGGATGCCGAAGGATTAGGATCACCAATGGGCAGTCTGAAGCAGTTGTAGCGACCCAAGTTGTCAACAAATCTATCCCATCCCGAACAGTTGTCAACAAGGACAAGGCTGTTGTTGGGCTCTTTTTCTTGCTTCAGCTGTCGCCGGTCGCGATCAACCTCGCCGGATGGCTCAAGCAATGTTGTGGCAGAGTCCATCGTTGCAGCAACATCATGCGAAATGAAACCCGGAGGTGATTTGGCAGCATCCAAGCTGAGATCCGTGGCCAATGGTGCCCAGATCTCTTCGAACTCCGGTGAACCATTGAAGGACTGACGAAAGAGTTGTTGTGTTGTCCAACCATGATAAGCGCCATAGACTTCCTGGTAGGCATCAGTCACAGCATCCTTTGTGGTTCGATAGCGACGACTAGGGACCTGAAGCGACTTTTCCATCATGGCAGTTTGATAGTCCAACTGTCGTTTCAACCAAAGCAACCCTATGGCACCTGATGAATCTGCCAGACGGGGAAGCCTGGGATGGAGGCCAGAATCAACCTCATGCTGCAACACTTGGCGAAGTGATGGCTTTTCAACTTCCTGCTCGTCTCTATCCAGGATACCGTTGTCGTCAGCCTCACTTTCATCATCCCCTTCTTCCCCAGTGTGCAAAGAAGCAATCAAGCTATGGACTGATTGTTCCACCTTTCCTATATTCTGGATGATATCCCGTCTTCCCATGGCCACTCCCATGGAGTAGCGCTTGTAGCCTGCTGGGACAAGGCGAATACTACGCCACTCAGCAAAGATTCTTGTAGCAGCCAAAACGTAGAGCGCTTCCGGTGTGCTGTCTTCAACTAGATCATACTCCGTCCCGGTACACTGCCCTCTGGATGCAGTTACTGCCAAGTCCATAGATGCAAGCACTCTCTTGGCTGCTTCTGATGCCGATGATAGGAGACTACTAGTAGGCTTGTCGCCCCGCCTGAGATTCACTTCTGAAGCATTGCGGAAGATTATGGCCATATCTTGCAAACTCAGCTGCTCAATATCTTCCATAGAGGCGAACAAATTGGAATTTGCCATTACTAGCTCCGTTGTTGCTCCTCTCTTTCGCAGCTTTCTACAAGAGCTGATGGTAAGATTTCTAATGGAAGAAAGGCTCTGGTGCGATGCATGGCTGGCAAGGCCTTTGTTGGAACCGGCTGCAGAATTGACCGGGCCCCGACATTGTTTCTCTGGTATTGAGCGTATCGGCACCGGCACCTTGGAGGGTTCCTTTGTCGCGGGTTGGTGATTCCAGCTCTCGCCAAGTTTCTTCAGGGCAAAATGCAAGAGAAGGATCGCGATGGCAATCCATAGCCCTCGAACTGCCGAGAAGCAGTCGAAAGTTTCTATACTGTCAAAAGGACCATTCAACAAGATCCCAATGCCAACTATACAACCGGAAATCATGCCGACAGGTTGGAAGTTCTTCGTCTTTGGTTCATCATGGGTACTAGTACTTTCAAACAGGCGCATTTGTGATAGCTTCTCGTGAGAAGAACAGATTTTGAAAGAGTGGTTGAGGGTCAAGTTATGGTGTAACGATGTGAGGTTTTATGGGAACACTGTCAACCATTTGAATTGCATGTGATTCGAGCATTAGCTTGAGCATTGAATGAATGATGCTGATGTTACACTTTTTGACAACTTTCGATCGGGAGAAACTGGGAGACTTTGTTGACACCAACGGCGAGTGCGTGGTCGCGTGGTCGTTTTCCTCCTAATCCAGCTTGAAGCTTGATGAAATCGCTCCCTTTTTCGTTCAGAGTCTCGAGACCGGAGCAGCGAGGAGTGCTATCGCCCCAACATTCCGTACACGCACGTACGTACAAATCCCGTAGTAGAAAGCACCACTGAAAATAGGGAACTTTGCTGTCGCACGGACCAATTGCCAATTGCTGGGTCCTAGCTAGCTAGTGTACCAGTAGGTACAAGCAGACCATGCCAAGAACAGCTAGCTCAAGAACTTCTAAGGTGTCAATAGCTTGTCACTTGTCAATGCAGGCTGTGTCATGCACTGTCATGCACTGAACAGCTCGTATGCAAGCTGGCTAGAGTACTAGTAACTCCTGGCTGGCTACGTATCATACCTGGAGGTATCTCATCAAGCTCTAATCGTCACAAGGACCAATCGCGTCGTTTCATCACTATCGAGCTTCTGGTACCCGCTGCTATCTACTTACTAGATAGCTATGCGTACTAGTACGCTGTAGATTGCTCGGGGAGACTGTTGGCCACAATAGCGGCTCGCAGGAGCACCACCAGGTTTATGTTCTCCCATGTTGCTCTCATGTTGGACACTGCTACCAAACAAAAGCCTAAACCGGCACCCCTACCGTACCGGTACCGTAAGGTACCGTAAAAGTATGAGAAACTACACTGAACATCCGGATTTTTATGCAAGTATGAAGTCTCTATATTCTATAGCTTAAAAACTATGTACATGGCTCAGGTGTGTGGCACTGACCACCCTAAACCTTTGTTGGATCATCCATGTTGAGATCGTCGTGGAGTTCGGCAAGGTCAGCAAGCAGGGGACCCGCCACCGAAAGATACGAGACGATGTGTTCGTGAACATCCTTGCTCATCTCAGCAACGACATATTCTTCCAACTCTTCTCCGACAAGACCCTCTCCAGTGTGCGCATATCCTTTGTTCTCTCCTTTTCGACCGTCAAGATGTTGGACGATGTGAGCCACAAACTTCTCCCACTCCCAACCAATGCGATGAAACGGGTTGTCGGGTGGATTGAGGGATTCGGGCTGTTGGCTAATGTGGTTCATAAACCTGTCCCACTCCCAACCAATACGATGAAATGGGTTGTCAGGTGGGTTAAGGGATTCAGGCTTCTCAACTGTGTCGCCTTCTTCACCATTATCTGGGGCATCGTTGACGGCTGGCTTCATGCGCCTAGCTTCAAGAAAAACCTCCTTCAAGCGATGAGGGTTCATAAACTTGTAGACCTCCTCAGCATTGGGCGATGCTTGGAACGAATAGTTGAAAATTTTCTGCACCGCCCAACCGTGCAAGTTTCCGTAGATTTGAGTGTATGCTGCCGTAACGGCATCTGTTGAGGTGGGAAACCTGGTGGGCACCTCCAAAATGTTTTGAAAAATGGCAGTTTGGTACTGCAACTGTCGGCGGACCCACAAAAGTCCCATGGCACCGCTTGTCTCCTTCAGTCGGGGCAAGTTTGGGTGTTCCCCGAGGACAATTTCATATTCAAGGACATCGCGCAGGGTCGGGCTGCTAACCTCGGAGCCCGCATCCTCGATGTGGTCTTCAATCCATGCCTGAGCTGCACGTTCAATCTTGACCACATTTTGGACAACATCCTTCTGTCCCAGGCTCATGCCAACTGCATATCCCTTGAATCCCTCAGGGACTTGTCGGAGGATTCGCCACTCGGCAAAAATTCGACTCGAAGCACAAAACATGAAGGCATCCATCTCGCCTGATTGAGCAGAATCCGAAGGGTGCCTCTTGACAACCTTTACGTTCTTTCCGCGCGCCTTAGTGACTGCACTGTCCATGCCTTCAATCACAGTCTTTACTCGCGGCAACAACTTGCTCGCAAACTTTCCCTGGTTGAACCCTTGCTGAGTGCTGCCAATGGCATATTCGAAAACGCTCACAACATCCTCCAATGTCAGTTCAGCGATATCTTTGAGGGGTACAAATGACTGTGATCCTCCAAGTGTTGATGCGTGTTTCTTCTTATCCTTCTTTGATTTAGAATTCATTTTCGTCTTCTTGGCTGTGACAGTTTCATCAACGACAGCATCAGTTGGAGTCGACGCTTCTTTAGCATTGGCATAAGCTTCAAAAGTTTGTTGTACCAGAGCTGACACGCTTTCGAAGAAATTGCCGGAATCGTAGTATTCGCTTCGTCGCAGATCGACTCCACCAGTGAAAGGTAAAATTGGACCAAGAGCGTCAGTAATGCTCGAGATTGCGGCACTGCCCAAGCCAATGGTTGGTTTTTCAAGGGAGGGGACAGATGTCTTGTACAGAAAGGCTGGTCGAATGACATCTGGAGACAGGGCGTCGTAATCATCATGACTTTCGATAGTATTCATTTGGTTGTTTACCACTGTGAGGGCCAAGTCAGAAAAGGTGACAAACAAGAGTAGCATCATGGAGAGTCTTCCAACTACCCATGTGCGGCTTTCGCTTTGGCCATGGCCAGAGACAACTTCCGCCGAAGTCGCCCTTTCACGCCTAACTCGGGGTCTGCAACTGGGTTGGCTAGCGAGAGGGTCATTGGTGGCTCCATCTTTGAGTGAAGCGCGCCTGAAGGAAAACATCCGAAGTGATTTGGTTGGTGTTGACATGATGAAGACCAAGTGTAAGAATGTGTGGATCGAAACGAATGGAGCTATTGATGTCGACAAGTGTCAAACACAATTCGCACGATCTGACTGTTGAGTCGAGTTGAGTCATCTTGTTCAACGGAATCAGTCAACTACCAACAACAAGGAAAACATTCAGTTTCAAAGAATCATCGGATACATCGATTACTCAGTTGACGCCAGACACGTCAGACGAAGACGGAGTTGGCTTCAGCCGAGGCAGATCAATCGATTTTCGACATGTGTCAGTTGACTTAGACTTGTCGGAGATGATGGATGACCAATCTCTTCGTTTGATTTGATGTTGGGGTGAGAAAGGAAACGACGACAACCAACAACACGTCATCGTTGACTGCAATTCAACGCATCAAAGTCGCACGTTGGTCGACTAATCCGACTCAAAATGTCAAGTCCTCATAACCCAACGGATGCGAAGCGAGCTCTCGAAGCTTCGGTGAGTGATTGGCGTGATGGTGCTTGAAAATACGGCCATGGTATTTCCACCATGCCAGCAGCGGCAGAGTTTTGCGGTCGAACAAAAAACAAAAAAATAACGCGACGATCAACAACGAGGTAGAGTTAATGACACTTACTTGGCCCGGTGTCTGCCCAACGAGGAGGCTCGGCTGAATTTAGATCCAGCGGAAGAAATGTCATCGTTGCTGCGAGGTCGAGGAAGTCTGCTGCGACCGCGAACCAACGCGTCCATGCTGGTCACCCGTCGCATCAACTGCGCCTCGTTTTTCTTGTTGTTGTAATGCATCATCATCGTGGCTTGGAGATACAGTCTCTGCAATGCCTTTGGAAACAGACGAATGATTGTGATGGCAGATTTTTTGATGGGCGGCTTCTGTGATGGCTTCTGCCTGTTTTGAACGGGTCACGATTCAAGCCAATTCGCGTCTTGGAGATCCAGTGCCTCGAGCCAATCACTACAGCTAGCCAGTACACTCCAGTACGGTACTCTAGCTAGCTAGTAGACTACTGTAGCACCCAATTCGTTACCGGGTTGCTGGCTCGTTGAGAAGGCGATCTCCAACGATTTTGATGACTTCAGACACTTCCGTTTCTTCGTCGTACGTGCGGTTCTATTCAACTGTTTATGACCTATTGTTGGCTCTTTACATGAATATGATAGGAATTTTATACCCTGGATTATCGTATATTATCTGCTAATAGCTGATATTATCCAATAATAGCTTTTTTGGCCTTTCGACTTGGGGGTGAACAGCTGATTCCAACCTGCTGCTGTCAGCAGTCAGCAGCAGAAGCACAGAAGGTCACAGATTCGCAAAAACAGCAACTCGAGTGGATCATTCGGAAGAACAACGGTCATCAACTCGGAGAAGCTGGCAAGCTAGCAGCAAGCTAGCACTACTGGTTGAATTCCCTGTGCTCGCGAAAGTTCTGCAGGTTGAGGATGACCGGTACAGGGCAATAGCTTGGGTCATTGGAGCAAAGGAGCCATGTGGCTGTGTTTGGGGTTGAGAGATAAGAGATTGTACCGGTGGATGATGAGGTGAGAGCAACAGCAACATGGCTTGGAGTGATGGGCATAGAGGAGTTCCAGGCAGGCTGCTGGTCAACCCATGTGCCAGTGGCCGTGATGCTCAAGCAAAACTACAAGCTCCAGAAACGATAGTAGGCACCTTTTTGGGACTCCGAATTGATCCTTGCAGGTACTAGTACTCCACGTAGTTACTAGCTAGTACCGTTACGGTAGCCTATCTCTCTCTCTCTCTTAACGCTTTCTTCCCGTTTTCCTTCCCCTGAATATTGCCAGTGGTGTACGGAATTCCAGGAATTTCTCATTCGGAGAAGAGTTTCAAAAGAGAGACTCCATGAACAACAACGTACTGGTTGGCACAACCAAACTAAAATGAAGAAGGCTCAAGCCCAGGCTCACAGATCGATTGACACTACCACACCGTAACCTAAGGATTCCCGAAGGTGGCCCGAGCAAGATTCAGGACCCCACCAGTATTTCTCAAACCCACCTTTCAGCCTCATCGATTGATGCTCGTTGAACATCCAGTGCATTCTAACAGCTTCCCGCTGTATTAATCTGCGGACCTCGCAGGAGCGCATACGTTTCACGAAAGATCCAATGAAATGAATGGATATCAGAGCGGAGGAATAGAAGAGGGATGTGCTGCCCCAAGCTCAAAAGGACTGGAGGACACAGCCAATCATCCAAACCTCCAGCGGGATCTTGGCCTCGTTCGTAAGCTCACAATTTAATACAGTAACTACGTTGCTACTTCGTTTGGTTTTGGTATCAAAGAGTACTCCATTATCTATCTATCTGTATTGATTGATTTGTGTTTGAGAAGATGAGATCTACTTGTTCCGCAGTGCTTGTGGCCCTGTTGTCGGGATCGGCATCGGCCTTTGTTTCTACCCCCTCTTTGGCTGCCAATGCCAAGAGCAGCAGCTCCTTGTCCATGGTGCTGGAGAAACCCGCTGTCAAGAAGATTTCCAAGCTCGAGACACTCAAGGTCAATTCCGACCATCTTATCCACCCCTTGAAGGAGGTACGTCAGTCCTGAGCGTACCGTGGGAATCTTGGGCCGTCGCAGCGGCTTGTACACAGATCCTTGTGTTGAGGATATTGGTTGGCATCGAAGTGATGAAGTCATTCTTTCCCCGTCTTATCGATATTTGACGACAAAATGAAAGGCCCTGTCCCTTAAGCCAGTGGACACTTTAGGGTGAACTCTGATCGGTGCTCGCTTCCTGTGTTTTGATGATTGGCTGTTTGTGTGTGCTGTTCTGAATTCGTGGTGCCTTGAAATTTTTCTTCTTCTGCATGTTGCTAACCTCTTCCTTCCATTTTCCTTCCGTAGCAATTGCAAACCGAAGAAATTGGCGTCTCAAAGGACGCTTATCAAATTCTGAAGTATCATGGATCCTATCAACAATCCAATCGAGAAATTAGAGGAAAAGTTAAGGATTTTCAGTTCATGTTGCGGTTAAAACAACCAGCAGGTGAACTTCCACCAGAGCTTTATCGACTACTCGATGATTTGTCGGCCAACCATGGACAGGGAGATTTGCGAGCCACCACCAGACAATGTTTTCAAATGCACGGAATCATGAAGGGAAGTCTGAAACACGTAATTTCCTCCATTATGGATATTGGATCCTCCACTGTTGGAGCCTGTGGTGATGTGAATCGTAACGTTATGACCACACCGGCCCCTTTCGCCACAGCTGATTACCAGTACGCCAGGGAATGGTCAAAGGTGTTTGCCCAGTTGTTCCGTCCATTGACGCCTGCCTTTTCCGAAATCTGGTTCGATGGAGAGAAAGCAGCTACGGTTGAGACTTGGAGCAAGGAGGTCGAACACCACAATGTCGACGAAGCTATGTTGTATGACTCTGGCAGAGGAATTATTCTTCCAGACGCAGTGGAACCCATCTATGGCGACCGTTACTTGCCACGCAAATTCAAGATTGGTGTGACTGTTCCAGGAGATAACTCGTTGGATGTTTACACCAACGACATTGGTTGCGTCGTGATCACCAACCCTACGACTGGTGAATTGGAAGGATTCAATATTATGGTAAGAGATCTTGTTGCACTTGATTGCGGTTCACCTTGAGCGTTTGTTTACGAGCATGACCTTATGCATTGACTTCACGTTTCCAGGTTGGTGGAGGCATGGGCCGAACACACAATAAGGAGAATACGTTTGCCCGTGCAGCCGACCACTTGGGATTTGTGCCAAAGGAAGACGTGATGGAGCTCTTGAAGAGTATTCTTGCCAGCCAACGTGACCATGGTAACCGAGATGTTCGTGCCAACGCCCGCATGAAGTACCTTGTCCATACTCTTGGAATCGACAACTTCCGTACTCTTGTAGAGAGCTACTTTGGAAAGAAGATCCAGCCATGGCGCTCAATTCCTGAGTGGAAGTACAATGATTGGATGGGATGGTGGGAACAGGGAGACGGTAAGCTGTTCTATGGGCTGCATGTAGACAACGGCCGTGTGAAAGACGAAGGTAGCTTTAGACTGAAGAGTGCGCTCAGGGTCCTTGTGGATAAGTACAATCTCTCCATGATCCTGAGTCCGACCCAATCCCTCATCTTCCGTGACATTGATCCAAATGACAAGGACGGCGTCGACGCAGTTCTTCGTGAGCACGGTATTGTATCCATCGAAGAGGTGGATCCTCTTGCTCGTCTCTCCATGTCATGCCCTGCATTGCCGTTGTGCGGACTCGCCCAGACAGAAGCAGAACGTATCATGCCCAGCTACTTGGAACGTATTCGTGCTGTGTTGACAAAGATGAATCTTGATGACGAAGAAATACTAATCCGCATGACTGGTTGCCCCAACGGTTGCGCAAGGCCCTACATGGCAGAGCTTGCATTTGTTGGAGATGGCCCCAAGAGCTACCAAGTGTGGCTGGGTGGTTCCCCTGTTTTGACAAGGACAGCGTATCCTTTCATGGCCAAGATGAAGGACGACGATTTGGAGGCAACTCTGGAGCCCATTCTTGCCATGTTCATTCAACAGCGACAGGAATTCGAGGCATTCGGTGACTTTTGCCACCGTGCGGGGGCTGATGCTATTGAAGCCTACTGTGCATCCTATGTGCCTGGATCCATTGTTGCATAAAGCGATCCGAATCAGTATGCATGACTACTAAGTACATTTTTGATACTTCACTAGAAGAAAGAGGATGTAGCTAGCTCGTCGCCTGTGCAGATAATGAAGCTTCAGGCCAAAATTGTGGTGGTTATACTAGCCATACCGTCTTTTGCGAGAGAAGGCAATTTCATTCTTTTTATCCTTCGAGTTACATCGGAGACATATCCATGGCCGCGTCTGCATCCAGCGGAAACTCGTTCGGCAAAGAGTTGGATCTGGGTCTTCTCTGCTGTTCCACAAAATCCATGGTTGCCGATCGACGATTGTAAGAAGTTTCAACGTCCATGTCGCACAGTGAGGTCTGTCTGGTGATGGCTTCTCTAATGGATCCCCGGATTAGATCTTGCAGCATTCGTTCGACAGGATCTTGCCGCGGAACTGGCTGTGTCGGCCGAAGACCGTAGACTAGGGCCCTCATTATTTCTCTTTCTGCTATTTCTTTTTCTGTCAATGGATTTTCATCATCGTCATCTGAATCGTCATCTTCTGCGTCTATCATAAAGTCATCATTGGAAACAACAGATAAGCGCCCACCAACTGGTACCGGTAGCGGTACTGGATTGGTATGATTTTGCGATATTGAAATTGATCGAAAGGCATCTTCAATTGTTCTCCTTCGTTTTCGGCTGGGGGCGACGCCTTCTGCTATTAGCACTTCCTCTTCCAAGCAGCTCTTATCCTCGTGTTGTCGTCTCATCGCTTTCAAACTCCCCATCTCATTTTTATGAGTGAGTGGTTCGAAGTGGTTTCCTCTCGAATTGCAATCTTCGAAGAAATTCTTTGTTTCCAAGACTCGATGATCAATCAATCCACACGACTGAGGACTGCAGATTTGTTTGCCTCCTACAATCTACTAGCTAGAGCTAGCTAGCTAGCAAGTAGCAAACTCAGATTTCATCATTTTATCACCAATTCATCACTTCTTCACCTTAGCTACTAGTAGCTAGAGAGGCCATTATTTTCATCATCATTCAACCAAATTCATCACATAGACTAACTCAGATGTTTCATCACAATTCATGACCATGCATCTCAAGAAGTGGTAAAGTTGCATCACAATTCATCACCTGGTAGTCAGAGATTCATCACCATTCAACACATACAGTTCATTTCATCACTTTTCATCAAATCGCCAAAAATTAACTATTTGCAGCACTTTCCAAACCAAACTTCTTTTGCAACACCTTGCTGCTGGCAACGCAAACGTTTGCAAAACTCAATACTCCTACTCGCAAATGAAATTCTTCATCCAGACCTGCCTCTCAATTGCCCTTGTCAAAGCCATTCATTTATGTCTCTGTGGATCCCGCAAAGTCGGGCCCTTTGGCCCTGGTTTTGGTCCTCAATTGCTGCCCCCGATCCCGCGGAGCCTAGAATTGTATTCCACCTCTGCGTTGCCTAAGCATGGCCCCTCATTGGCTTTCATCGGTAACTTCCCTACTCTAAAAGCCTCTTACAAGGCTGCTGTGCGACAATACCATTGTGCATTGACTAGTCAAAGGATCTAAGAGATGTAAAGTTTGTATTTCCAAATAAGTGAGCAGTTATTGATTATTTTCTAGAATAAGCCTGCTAATTGTAAAGCTGTAAAGCTGAATTGTAAGCTGTATCCCGTCGCACTCCCTTACAGTTGAAATGAAGCTGGAGCAAGAAACGATAGGAGAGAGTCCCCAGCAAAGTGCTGAGGTAAATTACCATCCCATGAGGAGCTTCCGAATGACAGCAAACTGTGGAGCCGGAAGACCCTTAGTAAAAATGTCGGCCCGTTGTTCCAGAGTCGGAATATACTTGGCCACGATGCCCTTCGACTCCCCGATATTGGACCTGAAGAAGTGGTACTTCAATGCCAAATACTTGTTGTTGGAGGAAACATACCTGACACCTCTTTACTATTGACTCGTGTATTAATCATCTAGTCCGGTTCGCATGTAAATTCATCATGCAAGGAACCAAGGGAGTTTTAGGTCTAAAGTGCTACGGGGGTCCTTATATCCATTCAATCACAAGAATTGCTATGCACCACCAGAAAATCCTCACTTTTGCTTTTCAGCTTAATCTAAAACCAAATTACTCCCCAATAAGCTGCAGTATTACTAGCTAACACTGAAAAGCAAAAAGCCCATCTCGAGTTACTACTACCGATCTCGAGATTGATATCAGGTAACAAAGTGTATTGACTATTCAAGTCAAAGTGTATTGAGTTAACACCTGCAACAGAGAAGAGGTGCGCAGAATAAGGCTCTAGCTACACTATAAAGGATACGAACACCTCTAACAGACGAAACGTGACAAAAGCAAGACTGAAAATCCCATTTACAAGGTACGACGACCATTCAACAGTTTCCGGCCGGAACTGGAAGCATCTACGTATACCAGGTGATAAAGGAGAAGATTCTACACTGATTCGCTATTGTCACCATCGCGGAATTCCTCTTATCCAGTGAGTTGAAGTCGATTACGTCATCAGAAGGCTTTTCGCTCGCAAATCACTCGAGCAAGAGGCCATCAACGGCATCCAAGCTACTGACGAACTGAGGGTTGCAAGCCAAGAGTCCAATAGAGAGGAAGTTGCGGCACACGACAAGGGTACTCTGAGTACAGTGCAAGCTTCTAACTCCCAAAATTGAGCGAGATAGCTCAAATCGTGTCAACAGTGCTTGTGAGCTTTGAAAGCAAAAATCCCGGTAACACTCGGAGAGCCAAATCTCCACCGTGCACCTGTTTCGAGTGCTCAAACTCACACCGTGTACTCATCTAAGCATACACAAGGCATCTGCAAGAGCAGAGCACCATACGAAAGGCAACAGAGGAGTTCGCTACTACCCTGAGCCACGAAACGTCCTACGGACACATACAAGAACACCACAAGTTCCTCAGGAATTACGTGAGCTGTCATCAAAGACAGAGGCTATCCAGCCACCCACAGGTACACCAAGAGTGACCAAAAGAAGGCTATCCAGCCAACAAAAAGCTTTTTGAATAGTCACACAGCAGTAAGCCGTGAGATCCTTCTGCAGGAGATCCACACAAGAACACAAGCTAGTTCCAAGGAACAAGCAAGCACAAGAGTGCATTACCACACAACAAGACCATGAGATTCCAAGGGTGGTCGCTGGGGAAGATACCCTTCTAGGGGGGTAGGGGATTCAATTCCATCAGGAAGAAGCCATCAAGGAAGAGGCAACACTATAGGAACCAGAACAAGAGTTCCAAGCGTCAGTTCCTCTTCCACCCTAATGGACAAGGCTGACCCAGGTATTATCCTTTTGGGAGACCCTGACACACATTGCCAGGACCTAGGATCAAGCCTGAGTGGAATGATTGCCACTGGCTTCATTGGCCATTGAGACCATGACAAGTCAGCACCACCAAGCCGACCAAGCCAAACACTCCAGTATCACTTGCTGATCCCAAAGCCAAGAGTACGATGCTTTGGAACTGAGCGAGTACAAGGCAAAGTCATCCATCTATGACAAGTCGACTCGATCTATGAAACATTCTCAAGACAGGTTCAACCACCATACAGGTGGACATACTGTACCGACGCCATGAAGTCCAAGCTTCGAGGTCTAGAGACTACGAGGATGCAGTCAAGCTGATCCCATTGAGCTACTCAAGAGGATCAGATTGATAAGTGATGCAAGGCTCAACCAAAGAGTTCCCATTGCTCCAATACATCAAACCATCCAACGTGCTTGTTCCCAAAGCAAGGCGACCATGACAGAGTTGACTTCTACTTGAGAAAGGTCGACAGCGACGTGGATCAAGTGTATGACCTGGTGGGAACGGCGTTCATTGATGTAAGAACTCTGAACTCAGAAGGCCGCATCTGGACAAGACGCCAAAGACAATGTGACTTGCGGAGACGAGCAAGGTTGAAGGCAACCGTGCCTACCATGGACTACAAGAAGGAGATATGGAGGTCATTGATGTCAGGACTATGGTTGGCTGAATACAAGCCGCACCAGATCACGACGCCAAGAAAAGATACTAGTGACGGAAAAGGGCTAGGTTGAAAGCAACCGGTGGCCTACCATGGACTACAAGAGGGAAAGATACGGAGAATTACCAGAAAACTGTTGAGGCAGCCTATGCCATGAACGGTACCATCCAATTTCCCTGATACCCTTGATCAACTTAGAGAGACGCTGTCCAATAACAGATTCAAGCCCAGCAAGGAATAGCTGGACCAACGGAAGGCCAAAGACCGGAAGCCATATTCCAATCACAAGACACCTCCTTTTGATACCAAAAAGATGAAGGAAGGGCTCCCAGCTGCTGTCTTCTACCAGCAGTCCCAGCAGGCGAAGCCTGCTACTGTGGCGGCAGCCCAGATCACAAACTTCCACAGTGCAAGGTGAAGTAGAAGATCACCAAGCCTGAATGGGCCAACAACAAGTTCAATGGCATGAAGAAGTCCTTCATTCCACAGTACCACCAACACAAGATGCAGCTGCTCCAAGGAGTGCCTCCCCCAGTGGTGACGGCGCCCGCTCCAGCACCAGCTCCAGCTGGAGACTCTTCGAGCAGGAGTGGATCCAGTGGAGTCCCTCCACCTTCTACGAGCCAGTCGAACTATCAGCAGTTCCCCATGTCAAGCAGGGTCACTACAGTTCCACTTTCAGCACCATCAGGTCGAAGGAGTCCCGCCCCTGATGACTCCACAACAGACAGTGAGCCAGAAGAATCCATTGACTGGGGAGCATACGCTACCGATTTCCTTGGAGGCATCGCACTTTATGCAGAAGAGTTGAGGCATGATGAGACATCATCCGAAGATAGCAATCACTCCGGCTACTGCCATGATCAGCTTGCCGAGGGATGTCCTGACGGTGTAAGCATCGGATCCGACCTTATCTTCCAGCGGTACAATGATAAACATAATATAATTGTCAGTCTTTCTGCCCACCCTGACACCGTCTTCAACACAGATCACTTCGAAGGAGTCATCCCTCGCAGTGGCCAAGACGATGATAAGAGCTGGCTGCTTTTCCGACTACAGCTCGGATACAGAGAGTGAATTTCGTTGCTTGTACCGTGGACCCAGCCGGCGTAAACGGGAGAATCAGCGAGGCAATTGTTATGAAGACTTCAAAGAGCAGCAACATCAGGTTGAGTTTGAGTTTCCAGGAGTGGCAGATGCGTAAGTGCAGAGCCAATGTTGCTTAGGGAAGTGGTCGGTCAAGAACAACACTGTTATCTCGGTGTGTCGAACTGTTCATGAACCAGGACTGCCCCCGGGCTGATCCCGCCCCCAGCCACCCCCCGTGTGTGGAAGCACCAAGTGGCTTTACTCAAAAGGGAATGCCGAGATGGTTATTCCAATCCAGAGGCATCGCCAATATCACCGCTTTGTCTCTTGTTGTTGATGACTGCGTCAGGGCACAGGATGGATTCTATGTCCTCATGGACTCAAAAGTCGACGACGCCATCTAACACTACCGCCCAACTGGGAACCATACCAGGTATGAACGGACCGTTTCTGATGTTGGGTTTATGTGGTCGGTTGATTTGAGCAAGACCTGCTGTATCACATGGCCCAACTCAAACAGTTTTCACCTGAGTTCCAGCATTTGGTCAAGACGGTGGAAGGCAACCTCGAAGGTTTTACCAAGAAGCAAGCCAAGGTTGCATTTCTCGCAAGAAAACTGTACCACAACCTCCAGCGCCCATCTTTGGAGTGATACCGCAACATGA